AATAAATATTTATTGAATAAATGAAGTCTTAAGACCTACAGACTGTTTATGTCAACTGAGAGTCCAATTCTTTGAGTATAACATCTTCCACTAATTCTTAACACCCATTCTCAGATCCATCCATATATGTTTTTCATAATATTATCAATATGAGATTCTGGTTCTCATCTAATTTTTTAAAGTTTATTTTTAAAAAGCAAAGAAGAAAAGAGAGTTTCAAACTGCAAAGTTTCACCTTTTCAACACCAGAACCAGTACACTGTTACCTATGTGTCTTCACAAATTCTTGTATTAAGTAACCAAACATGACCTCCTTAGTCGGGGTTCTACAAAACAATAATGCTAATTAATTAAAACATATGACACTAGGTAATACTTTTATTTACATGTTATTTTTCAGTTAATGGGCCTTATCATTTATCTAATACCAGTCAGAGAATAGTGATTTATTTAAAATTTAGTTTGTGTTAGCGTGTTTGCTTATAGGACTGATAATATTTTGTTGTGTGTGTGTCTTTCTACACATGTATGCACATGTGAGCCCACAAACACATAATCATAACATTCTTTCTTTTGAAACATTGTGTTTTCACTTACATTGTAGATAATCTTTCCTTGTCAAAAGTAGATTTATATCATTGTTTTAGATAACTGTCATCTCTAATTTTCTTTCAAATTTCTGCATTTAAATATTTAATACTCTGGCTACGTGATTTAAGTCATCCAACTGCAGCCTCTGATCATGGTTTCAGAAGTTTTTTAGTTTACTATCTAAGGAGATAATGACCAAAGCAACCAAATTTAAGTCAAATGTTATATTATTCAGAACTGCTTTTTTACAACAGTTTAGTTTTTATCACTTGAAACTTGATGATTGCTAGTGCATGAGTAAGCCATGCCCTACTAGGGCTTTGGAGATGAGAAACAGTCATGAGCCCCATAATGACAATTTGGTCAATGACTGACGATGATCCGGTAAGGCTTTTAAGGACAGGATAAACAGTCTTGCTCGGGGGCAATGTTTCAGGCTACAAATTGAAACCCTTTGTGATCTGGCACAGTGAGAACCCCAGGGCCTTCAAGTATATCAGTAAGCACACACTGCCAGTGTACTACAGGAGCAACAAGAAGTCATGGATGACCCAGCTCCTCTTCCAAGATACCCTCCTGAATGGCTGTGCCAGCGAAATGGAGAAGTACTGTTTGGAGAACAACATACCTTTCAAGATTTTGCTTATGTTGATAATGCTCCCAGACATCCTCCTTTTATTGGCGATCTTTATCCCACTATCAAAGCAGTGTTTCTCCCTCCAAACACCACCACTTTGATCCAACTAATGTGATCAAGGAGTTATAGGAGATTTTAAGGCCTCCTACCTGCAGAGGACCTTTCCCAGGCTATTGATACAACTGAGGAAGACACTGATGCAATTCTGGAAGGATTACAACATCTGTGACTGCATCAAGAACCTTGCTTGGGCTTAGGCTGATGTCACCAAGGAGTGTTTGAATGGCATCTGGAAGAAGACGCTCAAGAGGTTCATCCATGACTTCAAAGGATTTCTCAAGGATGAGGAGGTTGCAAAAATCAACAAGGATGTGGTTGAGATGACAAACAACTTTAACCTGAGTGTGGATGAGGATGACATTGAGGAGTTCCTAAAGGTGGCTCCTGAGGGATTGACTAATGAGTTGTTGGAACTGGAACAGGAATGCATAGCTGAAGAATAGGCAAGAGAAAAGGAAACTGCAGGAGAAGAAAAAGAAGAACCCCCAAGAAAATTCACAGTGAAGGGTTTAGCAGAAGCTTTTGCAGACCTCAACAAGCTCCTTAAGAAGTGTGAAAACATGGACCCCAACACTGAAAGGTTTTCATGAATAGAGAGGAATGTTCATGGTTCATTATCTGCTTACAAACAAATGGATGATGAAAAAAAGAAAAAAGCCAAGCAAACCACCATGGACATATTTCTGAAAAGACCTGCCTCAGACAGGTCCTTCAGGAGGTATTCCAGGACAAGGCATTGTCATAGGAGATGACAGCTCCATGCATGTTATTGCCCCTGAAGACCTTCCAGTGGGACAAGACGTGGAAGAGGAAGATAGTGATATCAATTAGAAGAAGGATACAAATAAAAAGTATTTTGTACAGCTGCACAATGTGTTTGTGTTCCAAGCTAAGTGTTACTGCAAAAGTAAAAAAATTTAAAAGTTTATAAAGTAAAAATGTTACAATAAGCTGAAGTTAATTTATTATTGAAGAAAGAAAGATACTTTTTTTATAAATTTAGTGTAGCCTAAGTGTACAGTGTTTATAAAGTCTACAGTAGTGTGCTGTGATGTCCTAGGCTTCCCATTTACCCACCGCTCACTGACTCACCCAGAGCAACTTCAGTCCTGCAAGTTGCACTCATAGTAAGTGCCCTATACAGGTGTACCATTTTTTAGCTTTTCTGCCATATTTTTACTATACCTTTTCTATGTTTAGATATATTTAGATATGCAAATACTTACCATTGTGTTACAATAGCCTACAGTATTCAGTATGGTGACGTGCCGTACAGGTTTGTAGCCTAGGAGCAACAGGCTATACCGTGTAGCCTAGGTGTGTAGTAGGCTACGCCATCCAGGTTTGTGTAAGTCCACTACGTCATTCGCACAATGATGAAATCGCCTAATCATGCATTTCTCAGAACATATCCCCGTTGTTAAGTGACACATGACTGTATAGTTTTGCAGGCATAAGGATAACAAGTCATGGAGTACTGGTAGCCCAAAAGACAACAAACACACTCTCTCTCATACTCCCTGCTTCATGTGCCCTTCCCCCTTTCCTACTCTGACCTGGTAGTTTTCTCTCAGCAGCAGAAACGCTATAGATATATTTTTTTAAAGTAGTAGCATATAAATATGAGACATTACTTAGGCTGTGGACCATCCTTGGTACTCACATGGAGTAGCTGACATCTTGGTATCACTTAGCATTCCATAGATTAGGAGCCACTCCTCTGCCACAATTCTTAACTCTCCAGGATTATCCCACAAGCTAGGGGAGGGAACCGGATGAGCCCAGAGAAATCTCCTGGGAGCCAAAATCATGCCATGTAGCCTATGGCAAGCCTGAGCTGGCCTTGAAAACCCAGAGAACCACCAGAGAAGAGGATTGAATGGATTCCTTTTTACATTTTTTGCTTCCCTCTGAAGGGACACCATGATTTAATTCAGTGAGTCCCAGGAGACCCTTGACTCATGACCTCATTGATTCCTGGAGGAGGGTTGAAAGTTGAGACTTGTCTTTTTTTTTTTTCCCAGTTGGAACATTATTATAAATTAGGATCCTATTCCTGGAAACCAATTCTATACCATATATGTTCTAAAATGTATTATTACAATATGTGTTGAATATATATTATTTTCATTTATATTTTCACAAACATATATTAAAGTATGTAAAAGCAAAATGTATAGCCACAATGAAAGGAAGCATCTACGGGGTGGTTAATGACCCAATTTCTGAACCCAGACGGTGTAGGTTCAAATTCCAACGTTGCCACTCCCTAGCTGGTGATCTTTGGCACGTTGTTTAACCTCTATGCCACAGTTATCTGTAAAAGGCTGGGAATAGTTCCCATCTTCTAGAGCTGCTCATTCATGAGTTAATGTATAGAAAGTACTAAGAACTGGCAATACCTGACAATGTTAGTAAGTGTTGGCTGGTAGTTTATGTGTTGAAAATGGTCATTTTAGGGAAAATTTTTCTGAATGGTCTTAAAATACAAGCTCAATAAAGTTGGCTCTCAAGCCTCCTCCTTTTTCTGATAGCCTTCCTGAGGCTAGAAAGAGGCATTCTTCCTCATACTCTTCAAGGCTTTTCACAATCTGGCTCCATTCTTGCCTTTTCCACACTTTCTCAATACAAATTCTCCATTCAAGTTGCACTTTCTCATGGTTCTGCTCAACACCTACCTCGTTTGCAAAATTTTACCACTGTCACCTGAACAACTTTGGAATTTATTATGCTGCAGTATACTAGTTGTTTTTAAAATCATCTCTGAATCATAAACCCTTTGAGTCTAGGACCTATGTGCAGTGCAACGCGGTGTCCCCCATCACCTAATAATGTAGCAGGCACTTACAAGATGTGTTGCTTAATTGGATTGCACAACAAATTGAATTTTGTGTGTGCATGTATGTGTACATGTGCACACATGTTCAACCTGTGCAACAGGTTAACAATTTTGAAAATGAAAACTGTTTAAAAGAATTAGAGCACTTTTGAGAAATTTAAAAATTACTACAACTAAGTAAAAACATCTGCAGATTAGATCGTTTGGAACTGCGTAGTAACCAAAAGATATCACACTTCATGCACTGCAGTGCAGGCCTGCGTCTCCCGCTGGATCGCTACAGCATTCCTTCCTCTGAAACCACGACAGTCCGAGAAGGCCCCCGTGGCTCATGAATGTCCGCATCACAGAATTAGGGCTGTGAGAACAAGGAGCTAGTTCAAGGAGAAGGGAGAGAAAGGGAGAAACATGCATTTGGATCTGCACCTGTTTCTAATATTTAATAATAGTAATAAACATCTTAGCTAAAAATACATGACATAAGACCTTTTAACCTTTATGACTATTGGTGAAGTTTTGCGTCTGAAAACTATCGTATCTAACATCCAAAAATATAATTACCTATAGGATTATAAATGTGTGCTTGAATCTTAGATATTTTAGCTGTAAGTTTACATAAGAACAATTTTATGCCATAATTTGAACTAGCTTTGTCTTAACTGGAATTTGGAATTATCCATCATCTCCTGACTCTTGTGAATTAAGATTTACTGTATTTTAATTTCCTCATTTTTATTCTCTTCTTTCACTTTTTGTTAGTGAATATACTTGAATATGGAATGTGACATGAGGTATTTTAGGTGTAAAAGATGAATTCTTATCAAGAGCACGTTAAAGTAAGGGTTCTTCTTTTTTCTTTTTTTTAAATACCAGATACTCTTGATGAATATTTTGAATATGATGCAGAAGAGTTCTTGGTCTCTTTGGCCTTGTTAATAACAGAAGGACGAACACCTGAATGTTCTGTGAAAGGTCGCACGGAAAGTTTCCATTGCCCTCCAGCACAGTCCTGTTACCCAGTAACTACCAAACATGAGTGTAGTGACAAGCTGGCCCAGGTGAGAACTGTGTGTTGAATGCTTTTTATTTCTCCTTATATTAACTAGTTTAAATTCTGTCCTTACCTTTGTTACATCACAATTATAATGTTTACATTTAAGTATAAAATTGGCCCAAACCATAAAACAAAGAAGCCTAATCCTGGGTGATAGCTAATAACTTTGGCTCTTAAATGCAGCTCTTGATGGCACAGTAGGTAGCTTTGCCGATCAGAAGGCAGGTGGGCAGCCAATTTCATACCTGCCTGCTCACACACCAGATCTAAGGTTATCTTTGCTACTGTGATTTAACTTTCTTTATTTTTAGAGTCTCAGTCCTGGCTCATCCACTTTATGTTCTTATTTATCTACTAGATTGATGTTGATGATTATTTTTCCCCACATTAACCAATTTCCCACTTATATTCCTTTTTTTTTCCCCCGTGGGCGAATACTATTTGCTATCATATTAATGTTTTTGTATAATACTGTTAAAAGTAATTATTTTGTAGGTAGTGTATAATTTGCTATAAGGATTTTTCTCCCATTTAGTTTCTTAAATATAGTCCAAAATTTTAAACTTTTAAAATCTTGTCTATTTTGAGCATTTAATTAAAATAAGTTTTTAATATTTTGGTCTTCACTTAGAGTGAACCTTTCCTCTGTAATGATGATGCAGTTAACAAACAAGGCAAGGCTGGGCCACCTTGAGGCCTGCCAGACATTGTGTATGGCAGCTCTTTCTCTACCAGACAGAGCAAAGGTATCCGTCCCAAGAAGATTTGCATCATGACTGTTGTTCAATAGTTAATCCCAACACTCTGGAGCTCACGGGTGGTACTCTATTGTTTAATGAGGGAACCTAAAGAGACAAGCCTGAGCAAAGCTCCCTCCACTAGATGACTCATTTCTCATACAGATGTAGGGACTTTATAATTTTCAAATTTAAACAAAATTGGGTGGGTTATTGAGACATTTTGGTTATGTTCATTTTCTCTAAGTGTCGCCAAGCCAGAAGAACCAGGTCTGAGGTCACATTGCTGTGGAAGAATAACCTTCCCATCATGGTGGAAGTGATGCTCCTACCAGACTGCTGCTACAGCGATGATGGGCCCACCACGGAGGGAATTGATCTGCATGATCCTGCGATTAAGCAAGATGCATTGCTGTTAGAGAGATGGAGACTGGAGCCAGTTCCCCGACAGTAAGTTGTTGAATTGAGTTCTAGTTATTCTTGGTAAATTTGGTTTTCCGTTACTTTCTATAAATTATTTTAACAATATATCTTTGAATCTTTCTATTTATGTAGTAAAATTTAGAAATATTAGTACTTAAGTGACTTCACCTGACACCGGTATAGGCACTCCTATCCTTTTGAAAGCACGCATCTCGAGTGATATGTTTATTTCAGCTTCTTTCTTTCTAAAATTCTGTCTTTTGTATTTGCTGATGTTTAGATGCTGCTTTTTTACTTCCCTTAGGAGTGGCGATCGATTTATTGAGGAGAAGACTCTTCTATTGGCTGTCCGCTCATTTGTGTTTTTCTCTCAATTAAGTGCTTGGCTGAGTGTTTCTCATGGTGCTATTCCACGAAATATTCTTTACAGGTATGTCTAGGGCAAAAAAAACGAGTGTATATTCAACTGCATTGGTTAGCTGCTGAATGATATTTTACCTTTTAAGTAGTTTATTTCCTTTATTTCTAAGTGTAAGTGGATAAAATTTACTGAAGTTTGTCTCAAAACAAGTTAGAGAAATTTAGATGTGAATCAGTACGAATTTTGCTTCTTGGGTGTAGAATAGTTTTTAGAAAACTTTTAAGCTTACTTTAGAGAACCAACGATGGACTTGTGCTGCCATTATAAATAAAGTGGAAAAACTTTCTGGGCTGCTGAATTTCCACAATGGTGGACATAATTTTTGGCATCTTGAAAACTATAAACAGGCTACTGAACAACTAGTTGTCTCTTTAGGCAGGTGGCCATGAGAGAGAATATCTCTTAAGCACCTTGCACAATAGAATTAGCTGGGTCCATTTATTTAGTACTAAATACAAAGTCCTTGTTTTTCTGTTTTGACAAATAATTTTAAGTCATAGTCTTTAGCTTTAATGCTTAAGGGATCTAGTGTTCTTAAAGAGAAGATCATCTCTATTCTATGCATAATCTATTGCACTACTTACATTGGTTTTATCAGAATGACATGCATGGTAAAGTAACTAAAAGTAAAACCTCAATAGTAATTAATGCAAACAAAGATAAGTATATGACTTTAAAAATTTTTTAATATGCAGTAATGATATAAATTTTATGATCCATTGATTCAGTATTTTTCTGTGTGATTCTAGAATCAGTGCTGCTGATGTAGACCTACAGTGGAATTTTTCACAGACTCCAATTGAGCATGTGTTTCCTGTTCCCAACGTTTCTCACAATGTGGCCTTGAAAGTCAGCGTTCAGTCCTTGCCCAGACAATCTAATTACCCAGTTTTGACCTGTAGTATTCACGCTAACATTGGCCTTTATGAGAAAAGAATTCAAGACCATGAACTTAAAACCCATCAGCACCGTGGTTCTAATGAAGCAGAACAATGTGGTACAAACAGTTCACAGCGTCTGTGTAGCAAACAAACTTGGACCCTGGCACCTGAAAGTGTACTACATGCAAAGAATGGTACAACTCCAGAATATACTGCAGCTGTCAAAAATGTCAAACTGTATCCGGGTACTGGCAGTAAATCTGACTATGGAACGTCTCAAGCCAGTATTCTGGGCTTCAGTGGTGTAGGAGACAAAAAGTCACAGGAAACATCAGTGAGAACTTTAAAATCATTTTCAATGATTGATTCCAGTGTCTCTAGCCGCCAGAGTTCCTGGCAGTCAGTCAGTGAGACTAATCCTCTAATAGGCTCTTTAATTCAGGAGCGACAAGAAGTTATTGCGAGAATTGCGCAGCATTTGATTCATTGTGATCCAAGTACTTCACATGTTTCTGGACATCCATTTAATGCGCAAGAATCTAGTTCACTTAATTCAAGGTTTTTCCGGGTTTCACAAGAAAATGAAAATGTGAGAAGATGTAAAGAAGCTTTCTCCATTTCTTTTGGTAGTCCAGAGCTTACCTCCTCAGAAGACACCAATGAAGGGAAAATTCGAGTAAAACCAGAAACTCCTCGAAGTGAGGGTTGCATTTCTAATGGTCTTTATTCTCGTCAGCCTGTTGGTGAGACTAATCCTTTGATAGACTCGTTATTCCAGGAGCGGCAAGACGTTATTGCAAGGATTGCTCAACACTTGGAGCATATTGATCCGGCGGCATCGCACATGCCCCGGCAGTCATTCAAAATGCATGACTCCAGTTCGCTTCCTTCTAAAGTGTTTAGGAGTTCGTATGAAGACAAAAATTTGTTGAAGAAGAACAAGGATTATGCCTCTGTTTCCATTTCTAATGCGAAATTTTCCTTGTTAGAAGATAGCAGTGAAGGGAAAAACTTAATACCTAATAAATCTTTTAGTTCTTTTAAATGCAGTAGTAAAGCCAAGTCCTCTTTGAAACCTCAAACAAGACATCTGTATCAGGACAATCCTGGTGAAATCATCCAAAGTACATGTCAAGAGACACAGAGCAAAGCCACTAGTTTACTGACTCCCTCAAATATGTCTCATTGCAAAGAAAATAACTTAGATTTGACAATCAGATTGGAAAATACACTTTCCGAGTGTCAATTTAAGGAGCAAGAAATAAGCAATGGAATTGATAAACAGTATTCATATTGCAACGGTATTGACAAACAGATTTGTGCAAATAAATGTAAGGAAAAAATAATAATAAATGAAAATTGTAATCCAGAATCTTTTAACAATCACCAATTTGATAATTCAAAAAAAAATGACTTGAAAATGAAAGTTACTATGTTGAAAATATCAGGATATTTGAACAAACATGAAAACAAGTGCTCAAATAAAGACTCAAAAAGGCCTAATACTCAACTCAATAGTATTGAAAATTATCTCAATAAAGATAATGAAAGTTTCAAATGCAAAAAGCCAGACCAGTTGAAAAATGAACAGGATAAAAAAGAAGATCCAACTGATGAAAAATCTCAAAACTGTTCCCAGAGAAAGAGCATAAAAGACTGTTTGTCTACATGTGAACGACTGAAAAATACAGAGGTGTTGGTAGGTAATAGCTGATGTTTCAAACATAATTCTCAGACATTTGTTATGGTTTGACTTTTGTTTGTAGGTGATCTAGTTCTAAAGGCCTAGGGTGGCTATTATCTATAGAACGCACAGTCTGATATAGTAAACCTGCTACAGAACTAGTATGGACATTCTTGCAAAGAACCCACCCACTTAAGAGCAAATGCTAGGTAAATTCTTCCTGTTGCCCTTTTTTACTTCAACACTATGAACAATTGCTGGAGAATAAATAAGAATCAGAAATGGAACTCACGTTAGGTTAACATGTTGTTTGTTAGCAGCTCTGGCCTAGTATAAGCAGTATGCTCGTTGGGTTACTGTTGGGAGATTTTAGGAGTATCTATAGCGAAATCACTAGGCTGTTGGTCAAAATACTTGGGCTCCAGCCCTGACTTCACAATTTGGGCCTTGAGTGGCTCTGAATAAGTCACGTAACTTCTAAAAACCTCAGTCTCCTCAATTTTAAAATAAGAAATGATAAATCTCTTTTGTGATGACAAATAATAGATTTTAAAATATTTTGTAAACCTTTAATGCACTATATAAATAAAAGATATTTAAGTTACTTCCATTTTATTTGACTTTCCACCAAACCACTTTTTAACTTTAGAAAATGTTTAGGCTCAAATCTCCTCTATTTCTCCAAGTAGTATGACAAATTTATGTCTCAATTATATGGAAAACTACTTCTTAACTGTTTTGATCCAAATCTGAATGACCTTGGTTGATCTTCTTTATCACTCAGATTACTCTGCCAGACGTTAGAGTTTTACAGTTGTGCCATGTTTCCAATTTATATTTTTCAGCAGAAGAGCTCATCTCTCTAACATGGAGGTTTAATCAAACAGTAGTTTCCAATTTCCTAAAACTGTAATTGTCACAAAAACCTAGCCTGGCCTTAAGAATATTAGCTTTTCATGATCCTTTCTGGTACCTAACAGGGAGGCTTAATTTGGCCATAGTATTTTTCAAGCCACTAAGATTCCTTTTCTCCTGTACTTGTTTTAAATGTAGTCATACTTATGTGCCCAGGCACTCTCCTGAATATTTCCCACATGTTGGCTTACCTAATTCTTCCACTACACTATGAGGTTGGGCACTGTTACTAACTCTGGTTTACAGATGAGGACCATAGGCCTGAAGAGGTTGAGTAACTTACCCCAGGTCATAAAGCTAGTAAATGGTAGAGCCAGGACCCAAATTAGTCCTTCCTGATTTTTATCCATGTGTTTTTATGAATTTCTGATCTTTGGGTATAAACTTGCCTAAATTCCTAAGAATTTGCCTGTTTCCTGTATCACTTCAAAAACAGTACTACGACTGCATTAGATATATTTTTAAATTCATATTTATTATATTTCTGTATCATGTCCCACCACATTACATAGTGTGAGAATGGCTCTTGATATTGACATAGTTTAGTATTTTAGAATATTATGCTATTTTTTCTACCTGTGAGTAGTTGTTTTTCCCACAAATTAAAAGAATCAAATATTAGCTTATTAGATGCTAGACTGTAAGTATTTATAAATATGACCATATGTTTATAAGGCAATTGTATTTGGACATACATTCTTTAGAATATTTGAGTCTATTCAGCATGTTAGAAAAAAACTCTTAGACACTGTTTTCTGCTTCAAGTGTCTATATATATATGTGTGTGTGTGTGTGTGTATATATATATATATATATGCTTGTATGTACTGGTAAAGATATACAGATCATTAGCTTCACCACCAAGGATGTAATACCTCAGTACATATTAGGAATAAGTCTAAGTTTAAAATGAGAAAATATTTAAATATTACGATTAAAATCTAATTTTTTTTCCTAGCAGAGGACTATACCACTGAAACATTCAAGTGTCTGGCAGAAACATAATTTTCATTCCTTAGATGGAATCTCGACCAGAGCCTTTCATCCTCGAACTGGATTGCCTCTTCTTTCAAGTCCCGTAAGTGTTTTTCTCTTATCTCATGTTTGGAACTTGCAAACATCTAAAATGTTTGTAAATCATGTTATCCGTAATTGAAAAAGATTTAAATACCTTTAAGATAAATTTTCAGTTGGGAAACATTTTATTTTTTGCTACATTTAACAGCTAGGTATTAATATGGGAAAAGGCTGAAAAAATAAATAAAAATGAAATTTATTGTATTGGGATTATAAAATTTCTCTGAAATTCTTTTGTCTAGCATTTTAATTGTTACTAAATGTAAAGAAAATAGTGTCAAGTGGATTTCCTAGAAATAGATTTGTATCCCAGTACTGAAGCTGGTTGACAGCACCAGTTGGGTCATCTGGGAATCAAATTCATGGCTGTCTTTGACTTGGAACCCAGGCACTAAATAATGTTATTCTGAGACGTATACACTTCCCCACTCTACATCTACAAATAGGTTTATAGATCTGAGTGTGATGGTTAAGAGCATCACTTTGGAGTCACCCTGACCTCACCCTAGCTGTGTTACTAGGTGAGCAGTGAGTCATATAATCTCTTTGAGTCTCAGTTTCCTCATCTGTAAAAAGGGTGTGATAATGTTTACCTTAGTGTTTTGCGGATGCTCAGTATCATTCCTGACACACAGTAAGCATTCAGTAGTTAGTTACCATAGCTGCCATTTCAGTTAAACCTGAGATAAGTGGCCAGTACTATAGCAGAACTAGAAACATATATATTTTGCTACTGACATAAGATTATTTTGTTGTCTTATGTCTGGTTTTTTAAATAAACTCAAAAGATACAATATCTGGCATCTTCAAAAATAATTTGTGAATGAGAGATCTATAATTTAAATTTATAACTTGAATTTAGGTTTTTATTTTAGAGTTGAATTCCAAGCAATTTAAAATAACCCCAAATGTTTGACCTACCTGCGAGGTGCTTTCAAAATGCCCAAGTGACCAGAGAAAAAAATGGCAGTGTCATGGTGGTGTAAAAAGCACTACAGACTATTGTTCAATATGGTAGACTGAGTTGATACAAGAAGACCCCTCCTGCTTCCCAAACACAGAAATCCTGGGTAAAATACAATAGAACTTCTAAATACATAATATAGTGTAAGAGCAAGAGAGGTAAATCTCCAAATACTAATTTGAGATAAATTATGGCCCTCTAGGATAGCTGAACCTAATATAGTGCCAGGGGTTAAGGGCCCTGCTGGGACAGGAGTCAAGGCTGCAAATCTGTACCAATCATAGCTGGGGCCTAAAACCAAACTCTCCATAAAACTAAAAACAGGGGAAGACTACCCTTCTAGAAATGAGAGAGGAGAATAAAATTCACCTATTTACTCGAGTGTAACAGGGAGGTGTGAAGTAGATGGGAAAAGAAGCCCCCAAAAGAATTTGAGTCTAAGTCTAAGCCACCCGTGCGAGGGGTTCTGAATTTGTACTGTCTATGAGGTTCAGAAACATCTAGCTAAGAAATAACCATAAAACTGAATTGAAATCTGTGAAATCCAATGGGTCCCAGCCAAGGAAACATGAAACTATCCCACATTTATAACCCGTGGCACCAAAGATTTATTTTCATGGAAGATAACTTTTGCTGAAGATGACCTCAGAGAAAATAAATTAGAAAGCATCTTAAAAAAATAAGCTGGAGGAAGTGGGAAAATTCACATTTAGAAATCGTGTTATCAGAGCAATCTGAAAGAAAGTCAAAAATAATTCTGTTTTTAGGGGCTGGTCTGTGGCCAAGTAGTTAAGTTTGCGCTCTTGGCTTCAGTGGCCCAGAGTTTCACCGGTTCGAATCCTGGGCGCGGGCATGGCTCTGCTCATCAAGCCATGTGAAGCAGCATCCCACATGCCACAACTAGAAGGACCCACAACTAAAAATACACAACTATGTACCAGGGGGCTTTGGGGAGAAAAAGGAAAAATAAAATTTTTAAAAATAATTCTGTTTTTAAAATGTTCCAAGAGGTGAAAGAGAGCAAAAACAGGAGATTGAGATGAAAGAACATGTGGATTTCAAAAAGAGCTAAATAGAAATTCTAAATATGAAAAATATTATAATTGAAATATACACACATACAAGTGTGCATACATATAGAGATGGGTTAAACAGTGGACTAGAATCAGTTGAATAGAGATTTAGTGAATGGATAGACAGATGTTAAAGCAACTAGAATGAAGTGGGAAAAGAACAGAGATGTTAAAATCTGAAAGAGTCATGGAGGATAACCTGAGATGTCCAATATAAGTCTAGCAGAAATTCCAAAAGGAGGAGAAGATGGAATAAGGAAAATGAGATAATGGAAGAAATGAAGGTAGAGACCTTTCTAGAATTGAAGATGTTAGAGTTTAGATGGAAAATTTCACATTAAGTTTGACTGAAAAACAATAGAATTGTGCACTTGTATAACTCTCAAAAATATTGAGGTTTGGGGCCAGCCTAGTGGCACAGTGGTTAAGTGTGCACATTCTGCTTCAGCGGCCCAGGGTTCACCAGTTCGGATCCCGGGTGCTGACATGGCAAGGCTTGTCAAGCCATGCTGTGGTAGGGGTCCCACATATAAAGTAGAGGAAGATGGGCACGGATGTTAGCTCAGGGCCAGTCTTCCTCAGCAAAAAGAGGAGAATTGGCAGCAGATGTTAGCTCAGGGCTAATCTTCCTCCAAAGAAAAAAAAATTGAGGTTGTTTAGACTTTCAGTATCATCTGTTTTTTCTTAGTCACCGAATTAGACTAATCACTCAGATGCTTTATATATATTTACTATTAATTCTAGAAACAAAGCTAACTTGCATGTTGTAAATGACTTTATCTTTAATTTACACTTGAGTCTTTCATTCTTATTATATTTTGAGCTAGATGGCGGTTTGTCTTAAATGTAATCTGATATACAATGGTGGTTGAAAATTCTGGTTATATTATATATTGGGATTCCACGTAAGATTTGGTTTTAGAAAAACTGCTTCTTAAAAAATCAAAACCTAGTAAAAGTGCTTTTATTAATCAGCTGTTTTTTCTATACTAGTTAATAAAATGAGAACATAAGAATAATATGTAATAAAAGAGCATGATTTTAAGTAAGCTGTTATGGGAGAATTTTATGATATTTAAGATAATGCTTAGCTTTCTTTTGAAAAGTGTGCTATCAAGAAAAAATTACAGTCTTTTTAAATATCACAAATGATTATTTTGACCTTAGGTTCCTCAAAGAAAGACACAATCAGGTTGCTTTGATCTGGATTCTTCTTTACTGCATCTGAAAAGCTTGTCATCTAGAAGGTATTTATCATAAAATTCACTTGTGGATATGAAACAGTATTACACAAAATTCTGGTCTTCCACAATAAATAATATTGACTCTAAAAATCAAAATTTTAACAGGAATCTTCCTTTCCAGTTGGTTATCATTTTCAATATAATTTCACACACACAGTTACCAAGGATGGGTGAGGGTGAAAGTAAGACAATGAATAGCCACTATACATTGGTCGTAATAAATCATGTTAAAACATTGGTTTTAACGTTTGAGTGGGTTTGCAGATTTCTGGTCATTCACCTCCTCCTTTGCTTTACACTCCTTTGCAGAAAAGCTTTGGCAACTTGTTCCATGTTAACAAATAACATTCTCGTTATAGTCTTTAGTCACATAATTTTGCCTTTGTATTCTCATTTTTAACTGAAAATGCAGGTTGATATAGAAGACTGCATTATTATCTATTTTCAGTAGATGTCACTGTGATATGTTATAAATTCCACCTTGAAAACTTCTAGGATGTTATATATATTCTTTATCAAATATTATAAGAAAATTTATAAAATCTAATCAGAAATTTTAAACAAGATATGTCATATCTTAAAATTTGATTAGATTAAATTTTATTATGGTAGTTTAAGTAAAATTGATCAGATTCTTGCTAAATTAGAAAATATTGTGGCTAATGTGTCTACTTGCTGATTTGTTTTTTTTTTTTTTTTTTACTAGTCCTCGACCATGTTTAAATATTGCAGATGATCCAAATATTCATGAAAGACCATTTCTGAGTTCTAGTGCTCCACCTATAACAAGCCTTAGTCTCTTGGGAAATTTTGAGGTAATGTTCTTTGAAACTATTTTAAGAGTTGACCTTTCTTAACCTAGATCCAGTGTGTCATTTACGTCATTTGTTTGTGAAAGGGAAATAAATGAATGGATTATGTTTTTCCCGAGCCTTGAAATCCCCTTCTTTCCTTTCCTTTCCTTTCCATGAGACGTGAAGCTGGGAGAATGGTTGGCAGTGACATCTTAGAATTGGGTAGCTGGGAGAGGAGAGAGAGGACTCAGGTGAAATCAGGTTGGTTCGAGGTATTGGTTATTCTGGCCAGAGGATTGACTTGATCATACCTTCTTACCCTGTAAAATTGGCTCAGGGACCCAGGAAGGATGATGGTGGGCTGATAACAGCCCCTTCATGATCAAGGAGGTTAAGTTTCAAAATCAAATGATTCTTTGTACTATATTTGCAACTTCTCTGTGAAACTTAATCTATTCTAAAATAAGATTATTTTTAAAAAATCAAATGGTAAAGAGTCTCTGATACATGTGCTACTTTATTTAATATCCGTATTTCTACTTGGGATCAAGTATTATGGGTTTAGTTGTCTTTAATTAGAAAACAACCTTAAACGTGAACCTGTAAATGACATTTTAGAAGTGATTTTAATTGGTGAGTTTTTTACAGGAAAATAATTTAAAATTTGTATTTTTAATTTACATAGCATTACTGGAGTTGTGGTTTGATATATTAACAGTATGCTTTATTGAAAGCAATATTTTAATTTTGAGGCTATCTTTCAAAATTTTAGTGGAAATAAAAAGAAAAGATATTTTATGATAAGTTGATCTCTTTTCCATGTTACTTTTAAGGTACCAGTTCAGAGATGTTAAACTCTCTATTCTTTGTCATCAATTTAAAATTGCATAAGGCCATTGTGAGGGTCAGGTACTCTGTAACCTTTGTATAACAAGAAAATTTATAAGGGGAAAAAGAGAGCATCTGATGTGTGAAAACTTTAGAAAAGAGAAGATCGTTAAAATATCAGTACCTTGTTCTTTTCACGGGATTCTGTTTGTGCAGATATGCACACATTTCCACATGACTTGAGTAGAGAAATACAGGGAAGTTCTGAGACTGTCCAACCCATGGATCCTCCTTAAATTTGTAATGATTTTGATGCTCTCTCCAGTTTATTATAGATGATATTTATTCTACTTAGTGAATTTGACTCTCTATGGCAATTAAAAAATGGGGGAGAGAATAGAATTAAATTGCTAAACTGACACATTGGTCTTGTTTCCTGAAACAGGGCAAAGCCTTACCCTGCAATGTTGTTGAGGAGAATTGTGATACTTTGACATTATTTGTGGGGCTCTAGTCTAGAAACATTGACCCAGAGTAACACCTAAGTAGAAGGCTCTCCATCTGATTTCTGTGGCTAGCTATTAACTTTTTCTTGCTACCATTTAATGTTTTCTCCAAAAACCTTGTCCTCATCCATCCTGTGATTCTCTTCTTCTATCACTTTAGTCTAGCACGATATTGACAGCCATTAGAAGTAGGTTATTTCTCCCACCTGAGGGAATCCCAGTGCTTTCTATCACTATAAAATAGCTTGCATTTTCTAGAATCTTATGTAAGTAGAGTCATTCACTATTTACTCCTTCTTTGAGGTCAAGGGCTTCTTTCATTCACCATCATTATTTTGAGAATGTCCATGTTGTGCTATGTATCAAGAGTTCATTCCTTGTTATTGTTGTTATATGGACATACCATAGTTTATTTATTCACCTGATTTTAGACATTTGGGTCATTTCCAGTTTTTGGCTAAGTAAAGCTGCTATGAATATTCATGTATGAGTTTTTGTGTGGATATGCTTTCATTTTTCTTTAGTAACTACCTAAAGATGGAGTGTCTGCATATGGTAAATGTCTGTTTAACTTCTTAAGAATCTGCCAAACTGGGTTATAACTGGTAGTTGTACCATTTTTAATTCCTACCAGCAGTGTTTGAGAGTTCTACTTCCTCCACATCCTTGCCAAGGTTTGCAATGGTCAGTCTTTTTAATTTGGGCCATTCCAGTGGGTGTATAGTGCTATTGTACTGTGGTTTTAATTTCTATTTCTCTAATGACTAATACTGTTGAACCTCTTTTCTGTGCTTTACCATTTAGCTTTGCTTTCCCAAGTAAGCACATATGTTTTCCAAATATTTTCCCCAAGTCTGAGGCTTAGATTTATATTTTTGTAAGTGTCTTTTGAAGAGCAAAAGATTTAAATTTTGTTGATGTCCAATTTATTATTTTCTTTTAGGGATCTTGATTTTGATGTTGTATCTAAAAAATCTTTTCCTAACCCAAGGCCTCTCAACCTTGGCAGTCTTGATATTTGGGCCAGATACTTCTTTGTTATGGAATCTATCTTACACATAGTAGGATGTTTAGCAGAATCTTTGGGCTTTACCTGCTAGATTCTAGTAAGACCCTGCCCTTAGTCATAGCAACCAAAAAGGTCCCTGAACGTGGACATGTGTCCCCTGGTTGAGAACCATTGACCTAACCCCAAGGTCACAAAACTTTTGTACTAGGAGTTTTATTGTTTTAGCTCTTATATTTAAATCTATGATCTGTTTTGAGTTATTTTTATATATATGACATGAAGTGTATGGTCAAGGTTCATTTTTATGAATATGAATGTCCAATTATTCCAGTCTTGACATCAGGTAATGTGAGTCCTCTAATGTGGTGTTCTTTCTCAAAATTGCTTTAACTATTCTAGTTCCTGTCCTTCTTCATATAAATTTTAGAATTAGCTTGTCTATTTCTACAAAAGAGCTGCTAAGATTTTGTTTGGATTGGGTTGATATAGATCAATTTATGGAAAATTAACATCTTAAGAATATTAAATCTTTTGATAGATGAACACAGTATATCTCCACATTTATTTAGCTGTTCTTTGGTTTCTTTCATCAGTGTTTCGTAGTTTCCAGCATACAGGTCTTAGACATATTTTTGTAGATTTATATTTAATTATTTTGTATTTTCTGGTGATATTGTAAATTATACTTAAAGAGTTTTTAATTCCCAATTCTTCACTGCTGTATATTTAAGTGATTTTATATGTGTGTATATATGTGTGTGTATATATACATATATATAATTGCCTATGACCTTGCTCAACTTAATAATTTTATTGATTTTTTTTTTTTTTAGATTCTTTGGGATTTTTTACATAGACGCTCATATCATCTTCAAATAGGGACAGTTTTATTGCTTTGTAATCTATATGCTTTTTATTTCCTTTTCTTGTTGTTTTGAACTGAGTAGTGCCTAGCATGCATCCTAGTATATTAATTTAAAGTCAAAAAAATCTGAATAAAGAGAGAAACTAATATGGGTCGTTGGCCTTATCCATAAGCATTTTTGTATGTGTTCTTACTATGTAAATTTTATACATCTTTAGAATATTTTTCTTATTTAAGAAACATTTATTGAGTACCTACTATGTGTCATGTTGTATACTAGGAATACAAAGCTAAGTGATTATGTTTTTTGCCTTAGAGAAATTTATGATCTACTGGAGATGTAAATAATTTATAAAAGCAAGTAATTAGCACTGTGGCAGAAGTTTCCTCAGTCCTCATATACCCACTCTCTCTGCTGAAGGAATTGGGGAAAGCTTTACTGAGGAACTGTCGCTTGAGCTTGGTTACAAAGGATGAGTAGCATTTGCCAAGAAATTTGTGTAGGGAGTGGCAAGGGATTCTAGACAGAGGGAACTACATTTGCAAAGGTAGTAAAAGAACATGGTGATGTTGGAAAGCACCAATTGGAACTGGAGCGTGAGACTTCATGTGCAAGTGGGGAGAAATGAGGCAAGAAAGGTAGGGAGGGGTTTAGATGCCATGCTATGAAGATTTGACTTCATCCTATAGAAAGCAGGAAACCAAGTTTTTAACCTGGTGAGTGACATAAGACTTTTAAAAAAAAAGAAAAGAAAAGAAAAACAACTCTCAGTAATACAGAGGATACACCAGAGATGGAATGACTATTAGAAGATGTTGCATTTGTTCGGAGGAGAGGTTGTAAGGATCTGAGCTAAGTTAGTGATGGTGGAGGAGAGAGCCAAGGCCATGAGACTGAGAGGTCAAATCAATAGGCTATGGATTGGATTGCTTGAGGAGCAGGAGGAGAATAAAGAAGGTTGGTTGTAACATAGGTCTCTTGGTCTTATCTGTTTGACCAGGGGACTTTAGAATTGCTTGTGTCACTATTTCAAATTTAGAGTACACAGACCACTAGACTCATGAGGGCTTGCAGTGTTTTCTTTTTCAAAGAATGACCAAATCAAAGAAATGCTACTCACATTTCATGAAATATGCATATATGTGTTGCTATATGTCTAAAAAAGAGAGCTTACGAAAGGTTTAAAATGTTTTTTATACCTGGAAAGGTAAATACTAAATTGTTAAAGTGGTTATCCCAGCAAGGAACCTTGAGAGAAATGAATAAAGAGCTTCTCTACTGTTTGTGCTTCTGTACTTTTAAGTTTTTTTGTAATGAACATTTACTGTTTTTTAAGTGAAACTAAACAATAAAACATGTCACATAAAACAGGTTTGTTTTTTTTTTGAAAATTTTGATTGGTAATATTTTTGTTGTTATTGTTGAGGAAGACTGGCCTTGAGCTAACATCTGTACCAGTCTTCCTCTATTTTGTACATGGGAGGCCACCACAGCATGGCCTGATGAGCAGTGTGTAGGTCCGCTCCTAGGATCTTAACCCACGAACCCCAGGCTGCCGAAGCGGAGCGAGCAAACTTAACCACTACGTCATTGGGCTGGCCCCAGCAGTATTTTTTTAAGAAGCAACTATTTCTCAGTTCAAGTTAGAAATGGCTTTATCTTTTGGTGGAACTTCTGTATATGATGTGTTAGCAAGTTTTCGACTGTTTTCTCCGTGGCCAGCATCATGAATAAGCACTGCAAGGGATAAGAAAATCTCTGCTGTTATACCTGCTCTGGTAGAGCATATTTTTATTTACAGAGATAAGAATAACATATTACACAATTAGGTCTAACTAATGTTGAAGGTCAAGGAGAGTTCAGCATGGGTTGGAATAGTGAGAGAAGGCCAAACTTTATGGGATGGTAGATTGAAGGGGGAGGGGTTGATTTCAGGTCAGATGGACACCCAAAATGAGGGCGTGGCGATGGTAGCAACCACTTCTCTAGTGCCAGAAAGCATAGTAATGTATGTCTTTAAATAGAAAACATAATGAATGTGTTACCTTTTTAATTCATTTCTTAAAAATTATTTTGTCTTCCAGGAATCTGTCTTGAACTATCGTTTAGATCCTCTCGGCATTGTTGATGGTTTTACTGCCGAGGTAGGGGCAAGTGGTGTTTTCTGCCCCACGCATTTGACTCTTCCAGTTGAAGTGTCGTTCTACAGTGTTTCAGATGATAATGCTCCCTCTCCTTATATGGCAAGTATTTTTTAAATTGTCTTTTTCTGCTAAAATCAACCAACTTATTAACAAGGATCTTTAAGTTTAAAGAGATTTAGGACTGCTTTGACACAATGCTTGAAAATCCAAAGCATTTCCTAAGAGAAAATTGCAGGCTGATTAGAGACTAATATACCTTGAAAGTTGAAGTTGAAAGTTGAAAGGTTACCTTACACCTTCTTTCTGAGCTTGCTGTAACAATAGATATTCTCTTTTGCATTTGAAGATGGTGCTGAAAATTTAGTGTTTTCTCTGTGATTTGAAAAAATGGTAAAACATTGTAATTCCATATCTTGCTAAGTTCACAGAAATTCTCAAGTGTTCACTGTGCCACAAGGGTTCCCTTCACATGTGATCCTCATCTCAGTAGAGTACAGGTGAAAGTTTGGTGACTTAAGCCTTCTGTGAGGCCTTTTTACCCCCTTTCTCCTGTTTGGTTTGTCTTTGGACCATTTTTTTCCTAATCCCATGACTCTTTAGAATACTGGCTATTTCTGACTCCATGCTAATGTTTCAGTGGAGAACAAGATAGCTAAGGGGAATTAGAGCACAGTTTTGAGCACTTTTTATTCCAATGGATTGAGGATAAAATAAGCTTTCAACTGCAAAAATGATACCAAGTTTTGGTGTAGGATTAGTATCTGCCCTTTTCCAGAAGACAAAGAGGGAGGAAGTGGCTAGCAATGCAAGTCTATCCTTTACAGTGATGGTATCAAATATGGAGTCAGATCTGAGTTTTCATGTTAGGTCTTCCTTTGAGGAATACAAATTGCAATAGGTATAGAAATAGACAGCTTTGGTCTCCCTGGAATTTCCTAGCTTACCACCTGGCCCAATTGCTTTCTCTCCTAATATCCCTTTCTCCCACTTTCTAGGTTTTCAAGGACATTAGTAACAGTGTCTTTTGTTATTGGTAAAAATTGTGAAAGGGAATTCTATGTAATTGAGAAACAACAGAGGTAGGGAAGTCATACTTTTTTAGGGATCTAAATATAGCCCATTCGTTATTAGTCCAGTTTGTTCACGAAAGGTTATTTAGCCTTACTCCATTGTAAGCGTGAAAACTTCAGTCAAGAGCCTGATCAATGTTTCATTCTTTGACAGAAAAAGCCTAGGGGTGTCTGCTCATTTATTTAAAGTTTTCTTTTCCCAATAATATTTATACTTGTGGATCATAATCATAAAGATGTACAACATTGGTTGTTATCAAAACCAGAGGCCCACTCCTTCACAAACCTGCCCAGTTATCACATAAATCACCTGTTTTTCATTTACCATAGAAGATATATCCACTTTTCCAGTATAATTTTGAAAAAATAACTGCCAATTTTGGATAATTAATAAAATGGGAAGTATCAGTGAGATAAGTTCAGTATCAGAATAAATGTGTATCATACTGGAATGCTCACAACATTGGAATACAGCTGTAACGATGCCCGTTATGCTTCACCAGGACCTCAGGAAGTTTCCTCAGCTTCACGTACACCATTGGCACGTAGAAGTCGAGAATGGAAAGATAAGGTCTCAAGTACTGTAATCTGTCATTAGTGTAGAGTCCCTGAGGACCATTAGGATGGCTTAGAAACAAGATACAAGAGTGAGTTAGCTAAAAATCAGCTCAAATAAATATGTTTGAGTGAAATTCATGAGTAAGAGGTAATTTGAACTGTGCTTTAAAAGAGCAAAACAGCATTAATCTTTGACTTTGGTTGACATCTAAGAAAATGAAGGATTAAGAGATTAAAGGGTTTTGGGCTGGCCCGGTGGCATGGAGGTTAAGATAGCATGTTCTGCTTCTCGGTGGCCTGGGGTTCACCGGTTCGGATCCTGGCTGCGGACATGGCACTGCTTGTCAAGCCATACTGTGGTAGGCATCCCACATATAAAGTAGAGGAAGATGGGCACGGATGTTAGCTCAGGGCCAGTCTTCCTCAGCAAAAGGAGGATTGGCAGCATATGTTAGCTCAGGGCTAATCTTCCTCAAAAAAAAAGAAGAGAGATAAAGGATTTTGTCACTTTGTCTCCAGAAAGTACATGAAATTGATTACAGATTTTAAGTAGATGTTGGAAAGAGATTAAATCAGGATACTAAGTTGAGTTAGCCTATCCTTTAAGAATCTCTGACTTTTCTCTGATAATATTCTTCAATAAACTTTCCATTATGTAATTTTTTTTCTAAGTTGGTTTACTAAATAAAATGGGTTTCCTTTGCAGCTGACCCAGTCCAAACCTTAGACCACAAATCTTTCCTAGTGTAAATTAATAAAATTAATCTTGTTCTTCAGAGAGCCTTATATTTTGGTAGTTTAGTCTGTTTTCAAAGGGCTGATTATGTTTTGGTAAGATAATACATATTCCTGGGGCCAGACCAGTAGTGCAGCTTAGATTAAGTTCGCACATTCCGGTTCGGCGTTCGGGGTTTGCTGGTTCAGATCCCAGGTGCGGACCTAGGACCGCTTGTCAAACCATGCTGTGGCAGGTGTCCCACATATAAAGTAGAGGAAGATGGGTACAGATGTTTAGCTCAGAGCCAGTCTTCCTCAGCAAAAAGAGGAAGATTGGCGGCAGATGTTAGCTCAGGGCTAATCTTACAAAACAAAACAAAAAAAGCTAACACCTATTACAGACCAGCAGAGCTGAGACACCAGAACTCCTATTTGTTACTCTAATAATGACCTTGGGACTTCTTATCACAGATTATCCAAATGACTCACAAAGGAAAATCTTAGCACAGAAAATGTGTCTTTGTGGTGTTGGACTTTTTATTAAATAATTCCTTAAAGATTAACTCAAAGCCATATAATCTCTCTCTCCAATTGGGAGTCAGCGGTAAAAATGTTTTCTAAGCATTATATAATATGACAACATTTCACTGTTTAGGAACTGTTGCATGGTTGGAACCAGGCAGAAAGTTTTAAAGCAGGTGTGCCAGTGGCAAATTCGTGGTATGACTTGCATTATCATCATATTAAAGAACCATATATTATTTTCTTCTGTTTATAATTAACCAAATTAAGATAAACTTCTTTTAGTTTTACTAAGCTTTGCATACTCTCTATTCCACGATACTTTGAGGAGATTTTGTATATGATTTTGACCCAATTTAGTTTATTTTAACCTTTCTATTCCATCCTAAAATATGAGAAGAAAATGTATTTTTATTCTTTATGTTAAATGCAATAACTTTTTCTAGGTAGAAATATTAATATGCTGACCCACTAAAATAATGAAATTACAATAATAAATAATAATAAATTTAATAATATGAATAAAATTCCAAGTAATTCTCAATCCCTTTCTAAAATTCCTCATTTGCCAATGCTGCTACTGGTCTGACATTGCTTAGGAATTGTTGTAAAGTGTTGCCTTGAACTTTAAAGTTAAAAAAAATCTATATTCTGTCTTTATAAATTGATTTAGTTACTCTTATCATGTTCTAAAAACTATCAGAATTGTTATGTATTAAAGGAAATAGGTATACGGTTGGTAGTAGTTTTTGCCTCACCATTTTTCCTATACATATTTAGGGAAGGGTGGCACGGAAAAACAGTGATGTATTGCCTATAGCAATGTGACTATAAAGGTAACTACTATTTAGATATAGTTGACTTTTTCTTTCTGGAACTAGGAAGAAGAGGGGCATCCTATACCATAGCATTCTTCATATAGAGCAGATTGTAAGAGAGAAATTGTTCAAACTTCATTGTTGTTTTGGTTAGGGATGCAGTTTGTTAATATGCTGTTTTCATGCTTTAAATGCCCATGTGATATGTCAGATTTGTTAAGAACCACATATGTCTTTTCAGGGCTCATTTCCATGAACATTTCCCAATGTTAATTTGTTGATTTAATAGTCGGGTCAAGCGCTGTTCACTTGGAATTGGGGTATTCCCATGTCGGAGTCTGGTTCTCCCTTTTACCTTTGTCCACTACTTTTTATTTGCAACCCTGCTCTGTCTGTCAGACCCAACAGAGATGTTGCCTAATGGGATGCTCCTGTTTTATATTTACTTTTACATAAGTGTGACATGTTTTGGCATGTACAGCATAAAATGATGGGATATAAAATGTAGAGCATGCAAGCGCTCTACTTAACGAACTAACTACTCAAAAGAAAACTATTAGCCCAGTTAAAACAACTGAACCAGGCTTTGTGTCTTAAAGCTATTGAAGAATTAAGTGTTACAGTCACCACCTGTAGTCATTTGGTCATCCTGGTTATTGAGAAACTCTCACATAGTCGATCTTAGCTTCCCTTCCAAACTTGTTTCCCATTGTTTGGACTTCTGCAGTGATGGGAACATCCTTCTCAGAAACTACTTTTATAATGCAGCAGTGCTGCTCAAACTTTAATGTACGAATCTTGTTGAAATGCAGATTCGATTTGCTAGGTCTGGGGAGAAACCAGAAATTCTGCATTTCTAACAAGTTCACAGGTGATGCTGATGATGCTGGTCTGTCTCTAGTCAAAATCCATTTATATAACTTAACTCACTGACTTAAAACCAATAAATTGTTTTACCTCTTCATTTCCCTTCTCCCACATGATACAAGGGAATAATCCTATCATCTCCCTTTATTTCCTTTTTAGTTAAGGAACTTCTTCCTTCTGTATCTTATATCATAGTAGAAATTTCAAGCAGTATGGCTATTGATCTTATATATTATTATATTATATTATTTTATATTATATTATATTATATTATTTATTGCAGCATCTCCAGGAAGAACAGCAAATTATTTCCTTACGGGTGGGCCTGTCACTATTTCATACTCATAGAATGTTTCCCTATTAATTCAATAGAATTAATGAATGTTTTTTCATACGTTGTGAAATCTTAGTAATTACATGATATATTATTCTTATTTTAGTCTTTATATACATATATGTCAGTTTGTACTCAATTTGTCTTCTTTTATTTCAAGGGTGTGATTACTTTAGAGTCCCTTGGTAAAAGGGGTTATCGAGTACCTCCTTCAGGAACAATACAAGTGGTATGTGTTTTATAGCCTACAATTGCAATAATCATTCTCTCACATACATATAGAACTTAGCCCTTTCTCCTGCTACTGCTGCTGCAACAACTTTGGTAAGTAACAGTGGGGCTGCAGCTTTGTTTGGAGTTTCCCTGCTCTGCCCCAGGAATGACCATTTGGGGACCTCCATAAAAGGAAAGCATTAATAAGCTAATCAAGGTGAATGCTTTAGAGAAATAGTATATGACAGTTTACATAACTTAAATAGAGCTATTTTCAATGTAATTAGAGCCTAGCATTACCAGTGCCTTCTATTTCATCTAATAAGCTAGGTTTAGATTGACCTATTTAAAAGGAGACCCCAAATGTTAGTATTGCTTTGGCAGGAAACTTGGGAAGCAAAATTACATCGCCCCTAGTGTAATAATTTCTAAAATTGATCTAAGGAGTTAGTTATACAAATCAGAAATGTAGTCTGACATGTGTCAGGGTAGAGAAGACGTCTTTCCTTTTGGTCTGGGTGTTGATCTAGTTTAGGCTCAGGAGAATTCTTCTAGCCCAGAGCAATCCTTCGTCATCCTTGGTCTAGAGTTCTCAGAAGAATAATTTGATATCAAGGCCAGTTTGTGACTGAGTTCATCTCCAAGTCGGACCCAGGATAATCCCGCAAGCCCAGAAGTCTATTACAGAGTTGGCTCTTGCAGACTGAAAAGAGTTTAGCTGATATTTGTCAATTATACCTCAATAAAGCTGAAATTAAAAAAAAAAAAGTCTACCCGAGTTCTAGATACACTCAGTATCTAGTCTAATTCAACAAGCCGTTTTATGACCTTCGGCCTCAGTGTGATCAGTGCTTGGCCAGACCACTTTGACTCATGACCATTGTCCAGTACAGCAAGGAGTCTGCACGTTTGTTTACTTCACATCACACAGGAATGAAACACAGTACTATGCAATATCGATGTGTGTGTATGTTGCCATATATACATTTATATAAATTTTATTGAGGAAGAATAACTACATATTAAAGTAAGATTTTTATGTTGAATGGATTTCTTGAACTAAAAGAGTGATGATCTTGTATTCTCTTGCCTCTGGCTGTGTAGCTCATGAGTAAGTGTGGGTCACTGGAAAGCTAACTGTCACTTGTCATAATAATGAGGCGTAAACCCAGAGGCAGCACATTCACCTCTTGTTTGAGGACTGCCAACTTTAATGGTTAATTTTAAATCTGAGATTTGGGTATGTCTTTCATTCCTTCTATAGTTTAATTATGTGTAAACATGGTTTGAACTCCTGGCTTGCTAGTTGTTGCGGTTGTTGAATGTATTAGCCTTAATCTTTTAAGACTCACTAGATTTCAAAAAGTGGATCATAATATTGATATATTTCTCATTTTGATTCAGTGAGTGATGTCCAGTGCCACGGATGAGCTTCTGAAAGCATGGGCACCAAGTTACCTATTGATGTGTTGGTAATTTGGTTAAAGTCAGATCAGCAGCTTGGGATTTTGTTTAAAAATGAATACTTTTAAAAATAATATTCCTTGGATTATTCATAGCCAAGTATCAATTTAATTTAGCCTTCACTAAGGATACATAGTTTGGTCTATTATGATATTGATGATTAAAAAAAGTCTAGTGTCACTGCAGTTTTTGAAATTTTACTTAGCCATCTTTGTAACTAATAATAATGAACTGTATTTTCTAAACTTGGAAAATATTCCAAGTAGGAAAAGATCTCTTTTTTGAGAAAATATCTTTAATTTTACACAACCATATGTACCTAAAATACCAAAAGTCTACTTTTACCAAGCTTTTATTTTTAAAAAATTCTCTTCATCATTAAAATGTGAGGAAAATTAAAATTCTATTTTGAGAACTTTGCAATTGATACACTTTAATGAAGTTAATGTTTGAAATAATTGAACTGAATGTTTTAACCCAGTAAAAGTGTATTTTGCTTAATGTAGTGGAACTATTTCTTAAAATCTGAACAAGGAATAAAGGTTTATTGGCTATTATTAATATGAAATTTGTGACTAAAGATTTTGATTTGTTACAGGATTATTGTGAAATAAAAAATTTAATTGAACTGTTTTTAAAAATATTGGATATTATTCCATAAACTTCTGAAATTTTATTAACTTTAGTCCCAAAACTGACATATCCACTGGGATTACCTTATTATTAAAAAACCTATTTTAATATTGGCACAATCATTTTGAGTCAAATCAACAAATCACTGTTTTTAAAGAATCATTTCTGTATTGTTTCTTCAGACCTTATTTAATCCTAATAAGACTGTGGTGAAGATGTTTGTTGTGATATATGACTTACGAGATATGCCAGCCAATCATCAGACATTCCTACGACAAAGAACTTTTTCTGTACCTGTTAAACAAGAAATGAAGAGAAGTGTTAATAAAGAGAACATCCGACATACAGAAGAACGGTTATTACGCTACCTCATACATCTGAGGTAATGTTTCGAGTGAATGTGAAAATACATTAGTTTAGAAGAACAATTCTAGGGGCCAGCCCTATGGCCAAGTGGTTAAGTTTGCACACTCTGCTTCGGTGGCCCAGGGTTTTGCCGGTTCGGATCCCAGGTGCACGTGGTCCCGCTCATCAGGCTGTGCGGAGGCGGCATCCCACATAGCACAACCAGAGGCACTCACAACTAGAACATACAACTGTGTACGGGGGGCTTTGGGGAGAAGAAGAAAAAAAAAATAGAAGAATAGCAACAGATGTTAGCTCAGGTGCCAGTCTTAGGGGAAGAAAAAGAACAACAATCCTAAAAGTTTTAGCTTATTTTAAAAAACTGTCACTCTAACTAGACCGGTGCTCCTTGGACTTTGCTTAGCTCGGAAACTCTTGGTGATGTGCCAAGAGGCAGAAAACACACGGCACATCTTCCTGCAGTCATTGTTACTAGAATTTATAGCTGTGTAATGTAAAATGTTTTATATCAAAACAAATGCTGATATATCTGGGGTAGTGAAATACATTTTCTAAACCAATGCTGTCCGATAGAATTGTAATATGAGCCATATATGTGGTTCTATATTTTCTAGCAGACACATAACAAAGTAATAAGAAACAGGAAAAACCAATACATTTTATTTAACCCAATATATCCAAATGTTATAATTTGAGTATATAATCAATATAAAAATTATCAATGAGATATTTTACATTGTTTTGTTGTACTAAATCCTTGAATTCAAGTATGTATTTTACACTAACAGCACAACTGAACTTGAACTAGCCACATTTCAAGTTCTCGATAGCCACGTGTGGCTAGTGGCTGCTGTGTAGGACAGGGAAGTTCGTTCATTCATTCAACAAATATTTATGTGTCAGGCATGCTTCCAGGCACTAGGGAAATAGCAGTGACAAAATCTCTGTTCTCAGAGAGCTTGTAGTGTAGTGATTCCATCAGAACTATCTTTTCCTCTAACTTTTACTACCCAGCTCACAGCTCTACAGCTCTACGTTGTGAGAAATCATTTGTTTGCCCTTGAGGTCCAAGTTGCCAGCATCCTGGGGTAAGGTTTCAGCCCTGAAATCCTATTGTAGCTCTCAGGATCAACAAGCAAGTCATTTGAGTAAGAGAGCGCTCAATAGCCTTTTGTCTGTAACTCTGTTCCTAATAATTTTCTGGTGCCTTTCACAGCAAGTCCTCAGTCACATCAGTGATAGTAATTCATCTTAGCCTAACTCCTTACTCCAAGGAGCCCTGTTCATCAGGAGGAAGCACCTTTCATCCAGGGCCCAGGCAGAGGACCTCTTTAATTGGTTACTGATGGTAACCGCCAGCTCTCTTTCCATAGATCTGCCTTGCAGTGGTGGTCTGGATTGAATAAGGAGTGAGCTGTACACTCAAGTCCCATATTGAAAAAGTCTGTTAAGTTAATTAGATGCCCCCGTAGCACTGCCTAATGGGTGCTGTTACCTTGGGGTCTTCTGCCTGGTGTTCTGCATCCTAAGGACATGTTGAACCAGCACAATGTATTTAAAACCAACTTTACACTGCCTGATATGACCTCGTGGGGAATGTGACACAGATTGTGGGAATGAAAAGTCTACCAAAAACAGACTTGGAAGACTTTAAAAGAGAAATGGTATGAAACAGCAGACTATAAGAATAGCTCCCAGCCCAACCTAGGAAGATTCAACCCTCTAAACATCCGTTTGGCACCATTCCTCTTGAAGTTTAACGACCCTTAACCATGTGTAACCAAGATTCACCAAAGTAAAAATCTGCTTTTATGATTCCCATATAATGATTAGATACTTTGGGTGCTGTAAAGAAACCTCTTTGGGAGTTACGGTATGCTTCCCAAAGCTCACCTTGTTCTCCTTCAGATTGAGAAGGGGAAAAACTTCAGCAAGAACAGAAGAGTGAGCCAGTCAGAGGTCTGCTTTCATTTATACAACTGACCACCAGATCTTTCAGCTAATTTAGGAATAAAATCCACAAACCCAGAGAGTATTTCTGCGATGCCGAGGGGAAAACAGAGAAATTAGCACTGCAAGGTGTGTTTAACTCTATGCCAGATAAGTTTGTACAGTTGAAGACTCCAGCCCCCTGTATTATGCTGTAGATATTAGCAGGGGACAGAAACAGTTCCATATTCAGTTTTGATAACTTTTCATTTCACTGCTAACTTTTCTCTTGATTTTTAATGATTTTATTTAGCTAGCCACTACTGATGATAGCAGTCCTTTCTCATCCTATGATTGTCCTCAAAACTTAATTATTTTCTGTGGTCACTTTTCAAGTGTGGAATCCATGCTAATCTACTCAAAATTATGGGAGTGCAAGTTGCATGAAATGGGTCAGTCTGTGCAGCTAGAAGATGCTAGGGCTGCAAAGCCCAAGTGTAGTATAATTGGCTGATGTGAACTGAAACTTGACGGTGTAGATGAGGAAGGGTGCGCATGCTGTGGGGTCAGGGATGAAAAGTAGGATTGCATGTGAAACCCATGTTCACAGGAAGAAGCATCTCTGGCACTGTAAGAGGGAGGGGAGTGTGGAGTGTTTAGGGAATAGTAAGGCAGAGGCACTTAAATAGGCAGTATAAGACCTTAAATATCTTGTTAATGAGTTACTGTTAATATTGTAGCAAGATTAATTCTTCCTGCTTTCATAATTTACTTTCTCAGGTTGTTTGTTTTAAAGACTCATTCCCTGAAACGATGTACCTTTTTGTTTGTTTAGGTTCCAGAGTTCTAAATCTGGAAAGATCTACCTCCACAGAGATGTACGGCTCCTGTTCTCTAGAAAGTCAATGGAAGTTGATAGCGGTGCTGCATATGAACTCAAATCGTACACTGAATCGCCAACAAACCCTCAGTTTTCACCAAGATGTTGATAAGGAGTGACAATTTAAAGTATTTGCTCAGTACCCAATTTGAAAGTAAAAATTATCATAGAATGGAGTGTACCAAATTAACAACCAGGAGAGTGGACCCTCTCCTGTTATCCTGGACCAGTTTTTATTAAAGGATTCCTGGAATGAGATCCACATATTCCAAGTAGACTGGAAACACTCATGTCCTAATCCTTTTTGTACTGTTGAAACCACTTCATTGGACATGTTGCAATAGCAAACCGCCCCCTGCCCCCAGTTAGATTAGTGTTTACACATTTTATTTCTCAGTTATTTAATATTTAATGTTTCCTTAATACTCAAGTGATGTTTGTCTCTAGTGTTCTAATGTAGCACAAATCCTATGTAAAATCATACTATGTATTTTTGACATTAATGTTGAACTCTGAAATATATGCACAAGTCTTTAATTTTGTGTGATGTGTTTTAAGTACTATTCATTTAAGTTATTGAAAATAAGAATGAAATGTTGAGCTTCTTTAAGATTAACGCACTATGCAAGCATGTATACTTTTTATATTTCCCAAGTTTAGTTTTTACACTGCCCCATCTAGGTTGCTGTCTCACATAGCTGTCCTTTAACACGCTGTGTCGGCAGTGCAGTGCAGACCAGGCTGCTTCATATTCCCTTGGCACGTTCAGATCATCATGCCCATTCATTTTCTTTCTAGAATCCCTTATCCCCCAAACAGTTCTATTTTTCCTTAATCACTACTACAGAGGCTCTACATTAAATTGCTGTCCCATGCTAGATAACTTTTGCAAATTGTTAAAAGAATATGTAATTTGAAAACAAATTAGTATTTATATTGTAAATATATGCAAAAAACTAAGAAACGTGTATTTGGCTTTTATTTTTAGACGAGACATTTATGTGATTGAGTGAATTTCTGGTATCCATCAGGCAGTTTCTATTCTAGCTTTACAGTTGCCAAGAGGAGGGGGAAGATGTCTTGAAACTTGTCCCAGTTTATCGCTTTCTTTGTCAAGGTCACAATAGACGGCATTTGGCAACTGGGAAAACCACCGAGCAAGGGAACTTGACGGAGCATTTCAAAAGCCTTGTCTCCAACCCCCTTGGAAAGAAGAATGTCTTTAGATGTTTGTGCAGGGACAGTGGGCAACAGTAGATCAGAAAACAAGGCACAAACACTGGAGATGCTGGGACAAGGCTGTGAGTACAAGTTAGAAAATACATACCCCTCAAGTAGGCCAGACCCAGGAGACCTGGGAGCGTAGAACCAGGTGAGCAGTCTGGAGTTTGGGAGAAGCGAGTCTTTAACTTGGACCCAGCTGATGGATAGACTATTCAAGAGCATCTGGACAGGTGATGAAGTGTGTGACTGCAGGCTCTGGGGTGGCCAGCAAGACGCCTCTTAGAAGTTTCTTTTAAAATACCCGCTAAAAGAGAAAAGACTATTATATTTCATAAAACCAAACAAAAAAAATGGTTTTCAGTGGCACAAGTTTATATGAAGATTTGTTCTTAATCTCGGGCTGTGTGGAAACATGGGACTGGGACCCGAAAGCTTTGGATGGTAGCCCCAGCTCTCATGGCACCCGATGGGGCTGACTCCAGGAATCCTCACCCCTTCCTGGGTCTGTGTGATTGAGAAAATGGAGTGAGAGTATCGTTAATGTGCCTTCTCTTCTTAAATTCTGCCTCAAATTCTGGGAATAAGTATTTCGATGCATGTATCCAGAACCACTTATACATTTAACAAAAGTCAATATTGATAATTTTACTTAAAACTTGGAAAACACCACGTAGTTAAAACATCAGAATGCTTTTTTTTAAAAAAATGAAAAAAAGTTATTGCTTCTTTGACCTCTCCAGTAATCCAAAAATCAGTGATGTATGTTGTATGCGGGTATCTTTTTACATGGATACCACACTGTGATCTTTCCAGAATTCTTTCTAGTGCATGGTTTTCCATCTTTCTAAGCATTTTTTTGTTCCTCTAAATCTTAGGGACTTTTTTGCCTTTGTTGTTTTCCCAGTGAAATATAGTCACCCAGCACCTGTCGTCTCTTACTTGCCCTGCTCCTGTCTCTATTGCACTGATTCTTTTTCTACCCTTCTTTTGTCACAGGCTGAGACCTCCTATATTGCTCCTCTTCATATTCACAGATATGTCACTAGACTGTTAGCATGCAGGTAAAGATACCAGGGGACAATCAACAGTGATACCTGTGGTAGATAATAGAGATCTCCTCACTCACTGAGGGCTGGCAGACTAAGAAAGTGAGTCGTAACTGATAACTTCCTTTAAAAAGGAACTCCAGGTCAGAAATAACCTGCAGAAAGTTTTTGGAAGTTTTCTTATCATATGAGAATGAAAAATATTCGTGAGGAAATGGGCACTGGCTGGAAGGTACCCAACAGAGGGCTAAAGAAAGGGAAAAATTTCTCCACAGACTTCATCCTTGGGATCCCTACTCTTCCCTCATTAGTTTTGTGAATAAAGCAGTGATTCTCTTTTAAATTTAATTTTTAAAATTTAGGTAATGCATGTTTATCATGAAAACATTTTCATACTACATTATAAAGTAAATGTGAGAGTCCCTCCCTCTGTCTGCCCTTCTAGCTGTCACTTTACAGAGGCTGTAGCTGTTAAGATTTTGGCGTATAACATTCCATATGCCCTGCTAGACTTAGGGACACAGGATCAGTCCAGACGGGAAGTAGGCTTTTCATGAGGGTAGGAATTCACTCTCAATCCCTAAGACCTTCGCTGTGTGGCATTGGAATCGGCCCATTCTACCCCGTCATGGATTATCTGTGGGAGATAAAAGTCTTAAACTTGGACACTGTGGGAGGAGGAAGAGAACGTATGAATGCCTACTATGTGCCAGGCTCTGTAAGGAATTTATATCTTTTTTAATACTTAAAGCCCTACTTCAGAGAGAGTATGAGTATATTCTACAATGAAAGAAAAGGAGGCTTGAAGAGCTTGCCCAAGGTCACGCTGTCAGTAAGTGGAAGAGCCAGGATTCAAATCTATGTCTTTTGCACTCTTCCACACTGGCATTTTGCCTCTTTTTTCATCCTTTTTTCCACTAGTAATTGTGGCCTGGCATTAAAATATAATTTGCATCAATATTCTTGGAAATAAAGTTGGTAATTTGCTCTGAGTGGAGATATATAATAAGGCAATGCCTATTAATTATTAGAGGGAAAAAAGACATTAAAACACAGACTAGGAAGAAATGTTCTAAAGCAACTCAGAGGCCATTCAACTTTGTATACTATCAGAAGGCATGCAAATAGTTGAGGGAAGTTTTAGGAATACATTGTGGTAAATATGAGATTTTTAAAGGTAAGTTTTAAAAGTCTCTTTCAGACCCCGCTGTTTATTTTTCTTTTTAATTCATTCAAAATTTTCCTGTTCTAACCTTTTCAGTTTATGTAAAGTTCTCTCTTCTCACTAAGTCCCTAGAGAAGTGGCATCTTCCACTTTCTCCGTTCCACTTCCAACACTCAAGTTGCTAGAACTGCTCTCTTTACAGTTACCTGACCTGCTTATTCAGGTAGAGTTCCCTGTGCTTTGCTCACAGAAGTCACCATTTATCCTCAGGGTTTTCGGCACTCTCTATCTCACTTGCTTTCCCTGAGTTGATCTTCCAATCTCTTCCTATCTCTCCCTTTCACTAAAAATGTATTCTGTTCTTGATATTTGCCACAATATTGGCAATGATGCAGGTGGGCTTTCTCAGCTGTTTCAAGAATGGTTGGGGTGGGACATTATCTCATCTCCTTTACTCACTCCTAAAAATTCTTGAGTTGGGGGCCGGCCTGGTGGCACAGCGGTTAAGTGCACATGTCCCGCTTCAGCGGCCCGGGGTTTGCCGGTTCAGATCCCGGGTGCAGACATGGCACCACTTGGCAAGCCATGCTGTGGTAGGCGTCCCACATAGAAAATAGAGGAAGATGGGCATGGATGTTAGCTCAGGGCCAATCTTCCTCAGCAAAAAGAGGAGGATTGGCAGCAGTTAGCTGAGGGCTAATCTTCCTCCAAAAAAAAAAAATTCTTAGGCTGGAGCACCTAAACCTCAAAAAGACCCCCAATCTTTTTAAAGCTTTTATACACCTACCAAGTTCTAAGCCCGAAAAATCTTTTATACTTGAGTGCATCAGAATTACCACAGGGAGCTTTGGTTAAACATCAGTTCTTGGACTTTGCCCCAGACCTAAGGAGAATCTCTTTAAATTAAAATTAAATGAAGTTAAAAATTGAGTTCCTCAGTTGCACTAGTCACATTTCAAATGTTCAACAGTCATATGCGGCTAGTGGCTACTGTATTGGATAGCACAGATACAGAATATTTCCATCATCACAAAGGTCTGTTGGTCAGCGCTGATCTAGAATATAGATGACATTTGAAGCTATGAGGGTGGAAGTGCTCTCTCGGAGAGTGCAAAACTACAAGAGGAGGGGATCGAAGGACAGAATTGTTAGAATCCTCCCATTCTTAAGGAATGGCCAGAGGAGTAGGAGAGACTGAGAGAGTAGTATCCTAGAGATGAAGAGAAGAAAATTTTGAGAAACAGGGTGTTGGTGGCCAGTGTGCAGTTTTAAACATTAAGGTACGTAGTTGATGATGCAGAGGGTGTTACTTGGGGAAGGATGGTTGCCCAGACAGGTCCCCACAATGAGACATTTGCCTTTGTGAATTCTCCGTTGACCAAAGTCTGCCTCCCAGAAATCCAAACCTGCCCTCATTCAAGTGTCACTGTCTTCCAGGAGCAGATTCTCTTGATCCAAGCTCACATATACTGATTTTCTATACGTGTGTCTATTAGATTTTAACCCAAGCTCACAAATACATTGATATAGGATAGATACCAGAATGCCAATTTATTAATAAAAATACAACTATTAGATACTCCAGTTAGTCTAACTAGTGCATTCTCCTTTCTCCCTATAAAGGGAAGATAAACTTTCCTGCATAAAGGGAAGGCAAACTTTCAGTAGGTTACTTAGTATGGAATGAGAACACTTAGTTGATCTTACGAAGTTTCTCAGCAGGCCCAGGTTAAGGCACTCTCAAGGGAGATCCTCGTCAGAGTTGGCCTCTTGAAACCTTGTATTTTAAATACTTTCTTGCCAGCAAACCCCTAGACCCCTTCCTTTCTCGAAAAAGAGTGTAGTATAACTGTTTTTCAAGTTGCAACCACAATACAGTTCTTCCTGTCTGAAATTCTACCCAGACACCTTGGTTGTGTTTTGATGGTTTCCAAATTCCCACAGAATTACATTCATTGCCTGTTGCTTTTTACTAGTTTAACTCTTAGAGGGCAATCTTATTTCCAAGTTTCTGAGAGACACTTCATTGGAACCACCATGAATTGCCCGTAGCTCTTCGAATTTCAAGTAGAATGAGGATTAAATGTCAAGCCTCAGACTTGGCAAT